TTCCTTGAATACATTCTAAGGCTATATCATGCAGTACTTGTTTGCAAATGGATTTTTAGCTGCTGATTTCCTGTAAGTTTTGGTCCAGACACCACATATAATGTTACAAAAAAGTTAGATGGTATCTGAGATCATTTAATTTTCAGAAGTAGTGAATTTAGGGGTTTGTTCTGCAGAGAATGGAAATAAAAGGCATCCAAATAGAGTAATTTGCTCCTTGTAACCTTTTGCAAAATAGGTACCAGTACCAAAAAAACACTTTAAATCATTTGAGGGAACCCCTCAAATGGCAGAAAGCATAAAACCAAAAACAATACCACAAACTCATTTAAATTTGCTTTCTTTTCCATTGCGGAAGTTATCTTGCCTAGTTACGCTTCTTGCTTTACAGGTATGTGTGGATGAATTAGTTTATTCATTGCTTCCTCCTACTAAGATCTGTACTTCATGGTCTTAAATGTAGGCCGGTTCTATGCCTTTGAGAAGGCTCATAGGTTGGATCCTAATACTAGTGGACGTGGTGTTCACCAGTTTAAAACTGCACTCCTTCAACGTCTTGAAAGGGTGAGTTGTATTTACTATTATCAGTTCTTGTGTTGCACATCCTTACTGATCAGTTAGATCTGAGCCTATTTTGGGAGCGGAGTTGATTTGCAACTGATGCCGCTAGAGGTCAAAATACTTATTTTCTTTACCTTATGTATAAAAAAGTTTGTGGTGCCATGTTACCTGTTTTCTGGAGTAGGATTTACCATCGCTTTAAGATCCTCAAGCTTTTTTTTTTTTGGTTTGATTTGATGAGGGATTAATCTTGTTATTACAGGAGAATGATCCAACCCTAATGGGTAGGGTTAAAAAAAGTGATGCCCGTGAGATGCAGGATTTTTATCAGCAGTATTACAGAAAGTACATCCAGGCCTTGCAAAATGCCGTTGACAAAGCTGATCGGTGAGTTTGCAAATAAAATGGGGATGATCTGTGGTAGAAACTGTATGGGTACAATGTTTTGGAATTGACATCTAATAGTCTGTTTTTATTAGGGCACAACTTTCAAAAGCATACCAAACCGCGAATGTTCTCTTTGAAGTTTTGAAGGCTGTCAATTTGACACAATCTATGGAAGTTGATAAAGAGGTGAAACCATTGGATATCTTTACTTATGATCTCTTTTTAAACAGTGTTTTTAATTCTTATGCCTTCGATTTACGAGATCGATTTACCATGAAGTAGTGAGGTTCAAATGCATCCTGAATCAGGATTGCAGAGTGCTACCTTTTGATTTTCTGCTTGTAAATAACAGAAATTTGCTTCATATTTATACAGATTTTAGAAGCTCAAACTAATGTTGAAGAAAAGACAAAGATCTATGTCCCATACAATATTCTTCCCCTTGATCCAGATAGTGCAAATCAGCCAATTATGAGATACCCTGAGGTGTGTTTCCAACTTTAACCTCCTCTAAAGAAGTGCATTGGTCTCTCATTTCAATTTTCGATTCCTTTTCTATCATATGGTTGTCATTAATCCTAATTTGTAGATCCAAGCAGCCGTTTTTGCTCTTCGAAACACTAGAGGTCTACCATGGCCCAGGGACCACAAGAAGAAGAAAGATGAAGACATTCTAGATTGGCTTCAAGAGATGTTTGGGTTTCAGGTGGAACAAACTGAAAACTATTTTCCTTCCTTGAACAGATATTGTGTTTGGAGCATAACGCTGAAATATGTTTAAGAGCCAGTTTAATTTGTTTTCTTCAGTAATGCTCACATTTATTTGATGATTCTACAGAAAGATAATGTGGCAAACCAGAGGGAGCACCTGATCTTGTTACTTGCAAATGTTCATATACGTCAATTTCCAAAGCCTGATATGCAACCCAAGGTTTGCAGTTTAATTACTCTTAGCCTAGTTCCTAGTTTTAACTGAAGGGCAATCCTGCAATAATACATGATGGATCTTTATAATTTCATTGTTTATACATGCAACCTGGCCAATCAGTCGGCCTAGTAGCTTTATCTTGTCTTTGGAAGTTTCATTCAGTTCATTATTTATGTTGTGGTTACCATTTGTCTTTGACATGCTTGACCCTTTTGTTGCACAGTTGGATGATCGTGCACTGACAGAAGTAATGAAGAAGCTTTTTAAGAATTACAAAAAATGGTGCAAGTACTTGGACCGAAAAAGTAGTCTTTGGTAATATTCTCTGTTTCTATTGAGCGATAAAGTTTTGCTCAACTCTTATTGGCTCAAGAAAGTGCTGTTTTAACACCAACTTCTAAAATCCCTAAAAATATTGTGGCTAATTGTGGTTATCTAAATGATGTTCTTGGATTCAACTTCCATTTTCTCTTTAGTCTTTATGCCTTTGTTTAGTCTTTATTCCTTATGGAGTTTCATATACAGGTTGCCAACCATTCAACAGGAAGTGCAACAACGTAAATTATTATACATGGGTCTGTATTTATTAATATGGGGTGAAGCTGCAAACTTGAGGTTCATGCCAGAATGCCTCTGCTATATTTACCATCATGTAGGGCTTGAAACTTCCTGATTTCTTGTAACCGTGCTTGATTATTTATTTTACCATTTTGAGTGTGGCTCCCCATAAGATGTGCCTGGGAATGCTGGCCAGTTATTCTAAATCTGACTGGTTGACACATCTTTATAAGGCTTTATTTGGTGCCTGCTACTTCTAAGCATGACTTTTATTATTAGGTTGCCTGTGCATTTTATTTAATGCACATGACAATTTGTTTTTGGAATTATTCTGCATGTGACCCACTAAATTTCTTTTGCTGGTATCCTCCATATCATTTTTTAGAATTCTATGTAACTGAATATATAACATGGGAAGGCATCAAAAAGGTATCTAACTCTAGTACAAATGAGAAACATTTATTTAACATTAATGGTTTATGAAGAAACATTCTTCAAGCAGTGTCAAACCATGTTACATCAATTTTCAAAGGATGATTTTGTTCCCATATGGGCCATACACTATGCAACTCCAGTTTCAGCAAAATTGGTATTTTTTTTTTTCTTGCAGGGGTTCTATTGCTTCTTATTTTTGTCAATTTTGCTAGTTACTTTGTTTCTCCTTCTGAATGGTTATGAGCACTTGATAACAACTTTTTTGGTTTGAAACTGTACTTCAAGTTGGAAGCTTCCATCCAGCAATTAGTGTTATGTCCAGTGCTCATGCCTAGTGCATTTGACCATCCTGTCTAAGTAAATTCATTTATAAACTTGTTTTGCTTCAATAAATACTATTGGTTGTTTGCTTTCTCCAGATGGCATTTGAGCTGTATGGTATGCTAGCTGGGAATGTGAGTCCCATGACCGGAGAGAATGTGAAGCCGGCCTATGGAGGTGAAGAAGAAGCCTTCTTGAGGAAAGTTGTAACGCCTATCTATGAAGTGATCCGCACGGTAGACAACCTTTCTCTGCTCCTTTTTGTTTGATTTCATTAAAAAGTAAAGCTAAATTTTTATGTTCACATTTCTGACAGGAAGCTGAAAGGAGCAAACGAGGCAAATCAAAGCACTCACAATGGAGGAACTATGATGATTTAAATGAATACTTCTGGTAGAGCCTTTAATTTTTGTTTTGTATCTCTTCTCTCTTGTTTAAATTCCTACTTTCCTAGGAATAATTTATTCGTGTTTAAGTACAGGTCTGTTGATTGTTTCCGCTTGGGTTGGCCAATGCGTGCAGATGCCGATTTTTTTTGGTGGCTACCTATTGAGCAGAATCATGAGAAAAATGGGGTTAGTTTGATTCCTGATTCATATTTGCAGGTTATTATATGTATGGTTAGTTGGTTACCATCTTAGAGCCTGCTTGTCCTAGCTATAGGCTATAGCTTTTGTAAATGTGCTGTTTGAGTAGGGCTTTGAATCATGAATTCATATAAAATAATTAATTAATCATAAATAACACTGTTGCAAAAAGTACACCTAGGCACTGGGCAGTGGCTGGGTGCCTTGCCTAGATACCTAAGTGCCTAGGGCCTTTTGCAGCATTTTTAAACAGTATGAGATGTTTTTAGGCCCATTTTGACAACACCTTTGAACACCAGGATATATTTTAAGACCCTGACATTTTTTATTCTATTTTTTGGCATTTTTGAAAAAAATAATAAAAAAGAAAAATGCCTAGGCTGCTTGTGCCTTGCCTAGGTGTGCCTAGGCACCAAGCAGTGGTTCAACCTGCCATTGCCTGGTGTTTTCTGCAACCTTGATAAATAGTTTTAAAAATTGATAAAAACAATCAAATTAAAAAGCTTAACCGCAAAAGCTCAACTCCAGAAGCTACAACTCTATAGCTTCAGCCATAGCCCTTTAGAAACTGAAAGCTAGAAGTTGAAAACAGCTTTAGAAATGCCAGAAGCACTTTTTAGAAAACTGTTTTTAGCCTAGCTTCCTTCAGCTTTTACAATCAGAAATCTTTTCAGAAGCTGGGGCAAACTAGGAGGTTTTTCAATAGATAAATAAATAAGATCTCTGTTGTTAAAAGTTCAAACTCATCTAATGTGCTTTTCTGAATACTCAAAACTACTTCCCAGAGTTATACTATATGTTACTTATTTTCAATTTTCCTCAAATTTTTGCCTTAGTTGTTTCTGCTGTTGTGTGTAGGATGACAAGCCATCAACTGGAAGAGATAAATGGGTGGGGAAAGTTAACTTTGTTGAGATACGTTCTTTCTGGCACATTTTCAGAAGCTTTGATCGGATGTGGAGCTTTTTCATTCTGTGCTTACAGGTACCTCATCTGCTCTGTTCTTGTTTATATTTTTTCCCTCTAATAATTTGGTATTCATGGCTGATTTTTGCAAGGCTATGATCATTGTTGCTTCGAATGGCTCGGGGCAACCAAGTGCAATCTTTACTGGTGATGTGTTTAAGAAAGTGTTGAGCATCTTTATCACTGCTGCTATCTTGAAGCTTGGGCAAGGTAAGTAGTAAATCAGTAAATGTAGATAATTACTGCTGCATCCATGCATTATCACAAGAGTCATGATCTGCTAGACATTCTCTACTTGACTGGGTTGCCTACCACTCCACATTGCCATTGAAAAGAAATGACAGATTGGTTACACGAACCTTCTGCTGTTAAGTGGAATCAATGTTTGACTGCTCACTTGACCTCATTATGACGGAAAGGGAATAACATAGAAAAAGAATCTTGTAAATTTGTATACCAGTCAAGTAAATTAAAGGATTCATGTGAAGATGCTTTCTCATGAAAAACTTAATTTAAACATACTCAGGGCAATTGGTAGGGAAGGATAATCTGGTAGTTGTAAGCTACTAGGGAAGCAGATTGGAGCATAATCCTATGATGTACACAACTCAATTTCATTTGATGTTCTAAATCTTGAACATGAAAGGATGATTTGTTTTCTGGTTGCATCCAACAACTTCTATTTGATTGTTATGGATTGTAGAGAATCTGAGAATGTAATGATTATGCACAATGGTTCTGGAATCAGAAGATGCATCTTTGCATTGTCAATGCTACTCTGTGGATTCATTTTTTTTCATCCACTCTTAACATTATATGTTGGATTCTGAGACTTCCAGTACCTTAAAAAGCAAGTAATTTCAGTTTGACTTTACATCCCTTTTTTCATTTTCTTGCTTTCTTGATATTTAATAACGAAGCTGTTTCTTTTCCTGGAAAGTAGAAGGCTGTCCTTTCTATTGAATTTCTGCTGATTATAACCTGTTAACAATTTCATCTTTCTATGTTTTATAGCTGTCCTTGATGTAATACTCAATTGGAAAGCACAGAGGAGTATGTCATTCTATGTTAAGTTGAGATACATATTGAAAGTTGTCTCGGCAGCAGCATGGGTGATTGTTCTTCCAGTTACTTATGCTTATACTTGGAAGAATCCTCCAGGATTTGCACAAACCATCAAAAACTGGTTTGGCAACAACTCAAATTCACCGTCCTTGTTTATCTTAGCTGTCGTTACTTACCTGGCCCCGAATATGCTAGTTGCAGTGTTGTTTCTTTTCCCCTTCATCCGTCGGCTCCTTGAGAGTTCAAATTATAGGATTGTAATGCTCATGATGTGGTGGTCGCAGGTGGGA